AACTCATTCGGGAGTGGTGACTTTCCACGTATTCCCAACTTCTGAGCCTGCTTGCCTGAAGTTATGGTTGATTGCTCTTCGGCTGGATATCAACACACCCATTAACGTAAACTACGCCAGAGCGCGTACACACCTCACCCACCGGATGCCTGCGAGCGCTCAAGGCAGTTGGACATAGTGGTGTATTAGAGGTAAAAAATTATATAAATACTGTTCGATTTCTGGCACAAACCGATTGTTTCGTGTCTTAGGACATCAATGTGTCGTCACGAGCCGCAGGGTTTAATTTGGATTTGTCTGTGCATGTTTTTTTTACTCTCATAGATTTTGCTACCATTGCCGTGCATTATACGACTGATAGACTGCAACGGCTGGAGTTAAAAATCATCATTTGTGTTCTACTGAAGAAACAAAGTCACCTACATCTTGGATGCCCTGGGGGTAAGCAGATAAACATCACATTTTCATTTTTGGGTGAACTATCCCTTTAATGGGGCTCATGTTTGAATCTGGCTGTGATTAGTAGCAAGATAACGATGCTCTCTGGTGGCCGACTCATGTGGATGTTACAGTAGTAAAGTAAAACAATTGAAAATTCACCTGAGGGATTAGGGATAGAGATCTGCAATCCAGAGGGAGATAGGATCACACAAAACTACAAAACCAACCAAAGGAAAATGTGATATTTGGAAATGTTTTTCAGTAGTACGCAACAGTGAAGAAAAGCACCTTCCTTTTGCGTGCTGACAAATGCAGCAAGATACTCACATGCAACAGGCAAAGGTCTGAAGTGTCATGAAAGGCCAAACTTCCCTGACATTTATAGCAAGTACAGCAAGATTTTCTTTGTGCCGACCTAAGACAATTGTGTACGCTTTTACATTAAAAACAAAGTGGATGCATTAGAAATAAAGTGGGGGTGGGCGTCCAGTCCATGTTACAAACCATTTCAGAGGGACTACTCAGCACTCGTTAAGAGTTGATCAAAATAATTACATTCATTAAAATGATACATATTTTGTGTTATTCCATTCAATGGTTGCTTAGTAATATGAAAGACTGTGAATGAAAATCAGGGTTATTCCACCAAATATTGATTTCTTCTTAAGTGAAACGCTGAACACTTCCTAAGTTAAAACATTAGTATTGTTTTGATAAAAAATGAATATGAACTTGTTTTGTTTGCATTATTTGAGGTCTGAAAACACTGCATCTGTTTTATTTTGACTAGTTGTCATTATCTGCAAATAAATCCTCTAAACTATGTTTACATCTCCATAGCACAGCCAACGATACGATACATTAAAGATACATATGAAGCAGCTACCGATGCGATACGATACGATTCACGATGCAGTGTGATACGATTTCAATTCGATTCAACACAATTCAATTCAATGCAATACGATGCAATGGGAAAAAAATATAATGCTATGCAATTCAATATGGTAGGCTACAGATAGTTTGTTTTTATTTATTTGGTTCATTGTAGTTATTTGGTGGAAGATGCAGCTCTACTTCTGCCATGTTAATGTATATTCTATGTGACTGTCAGGACACGCCTCGGTCTCCATAGTGTTGATTCGTCATATTCATGTAGCAGCAGTGGTGATGAGAGAACACGCTTGAGAAACAGTTTAGAGAGGATAAATCAATCTACTTATAAAATACTGGTCACAAATTATTGGTCCCTTTATAAACAACAAAAGTGTAGTGCATCTACTAAAAATGAAAGATAAATAAATAATTTTTTACCTATGTTAGAATCTATGCATAGTGATACAAATGCTACGATGACCAGTAGGGGACATGTTCAGTTCACTTAGTTTTGAAAATCATAAAAAAATTACCCCACAATTAAGGTCAAAATGACTGCTATTACTATCCTTGTAGGGACATTTGGTCCCCATAACATAATGAATACCAGGACCACACACACACACACACACACACACACACACATGCATTTCCTGTCATTTTAAGTAATTTCCTGCCTCTGATTTTTGGGGTCTAGGATCAGTTTGAGGTTATAAAAGGAGTTTACAGAGGTCTGAGAAACAGTGATGGTATAGTTTTTACTATTAATAAAAATGCACTTCAGTTGAGTTCTTCATTATGATTAACCATCTGTTACAGGCACGTGCAGAAGGGGGGACTTTGGGGGCTCAAGCCCCTGCCCTTTTTCAACAAAAAAAAGTGCCCCTCTCAGACAAATAGCAATGATATTGTGGTCAATAAAACAAAATGCATTGGAATTATAATTAACCTGACAATGTGTACAAAACCGTAACTAATTGCTCAAAAGTCGGAAAATTCCTGTTTATTTTTACATATGCCCTCTATGTCAATCTGAGCCGTTGCTATGGGTTGCGTGTGTTTTGCTTGACTGACTGATATTCCAGTCTGTTCGGAAATAGACTCTCAAGCCATATATGGTTCTTTCAGTGAGTGGGTCGACGAAAGGAAATAAACCAAACAATATTTTAAACTTTTTTTTTTCATCAATAATCAAAGCTAATGTGTCGTTTTAATTAAAAATCCATGTATTATATATTTTAGAATATTACATAATTACAAATAAACAAATTACATCACTGAGAAAATGGATGCTAAATGACTACAAAAGCACTGCACAAAACCGTGCAGTTCCAAAAGTCACAATAATGGTAATCAGCAGTGTTGAGGAAAGTTACATTTAAAAGTAATGCATTACAATGTTGCGTTACTCCATAAAAAAGTAACTAATTAGGTTACTTAGTTACTTTTTATGGAAAGTAATGCGTTACGTTACTTTTGCGTTACTTTTTAAATCTGGACAGGGCTTGCTTGTTTGTTTTTAAAATAAAAAAGTTATATTTTTGACAAATATAAAAACCTTTTCACACCAAAAGTGAAATGAATAAACCTCAGGCTGAAGGGAAAGGACATTTACATCCGTACAGTAGAACGCAGAAAAAGAAATTTAAACACATTTCAGCAATAAAAAAAACACACAAATGTTTGTCTAGAGTAATTTGTGCTTATTAGTACGGTTGAACTGGATCATCGAAGGTCAGAAGCAAAGACATTGGTTAATAGAATGGGATTAAATACATAAATGATATTTGTGTTGTTTAACATTTAATTATTGCAGGTTTGTATTATTTTTATTTATTTTGAGGAATACTGAATCTGTGTTTTTTTTAGTGTGAGTGGGATGTATTCAATTCACTTATATTTATGTATGATACAGCGGTTGCTATTTCATGAAACTATCATAGTTAATGAAACCCAAGTGGCTTCTACAGGCCTATTATGTGAAGTGTAGGCTGGCGAAATGGTGACGTTAAAGGACTTTATTATATTACCATTTTTGATAATTATGCAGCATTATGGAAAGTGTCTTATGCTCATCAAGCCTGCATTTATTTGATCAAAACTACAGAAAAAAACGGTAATATTGCGAAATATTATTACAATTTAAAATAATGTTTTTCTATTTTAATATACTTTAAAATATCATTTATTTCTGTGATGCAATGCTGAATTTTCAGCATACTCCAGTCTTCAGTGCATGATCCTTCAGAAATCATTTTAATATGCTGATTTATAATCAATGTTGGAAACAGTTGTGCTGCTTATTTTTATTATTATTTATTATAGTTTTTTTGGAACGTGATACTTTTCTGGGGTTCATTGATAAATAAAAAGTTTAAAAGAACAGCATTTGTTCAAAATAGAGATGTTTTCTAACAATATCAATCTTTACTATCACGGTTTCTACCAATTTAACAAATCCTTGCTGAATAAAACCTAAATTTCTTAAAAAAAACTGACCTCAAGCTTTTGAATGGTAGTGTATATTACAGAAGTTATATTTTAAATAAATGCTGTTCTTTTTTTTTTTTTTTACTTTTTATTCAAAGAATCCTGAAAAAAGTATCACAGGTTTCCAACACTGATAAAAAACATAAGTGACTTCTTGCAAAAATATAAAATAGTAATGTATCCAAATATTTGAACTATAATTTTTTCATTGCCCCTATTTTACATTTGAGCCCCTGCCCCGAGGAACTCTCTGCATGTCCCTGATCGGTTACACTGTCTTTTAAATAAATAGAGTTAGAGAAGCAATAAAATCAGTCACATAAAGAATGAGTGTTTAGGCACTTGTTGTCCTTTCCTTCTCATTTGTCTTGCATACTGATTTTTACTACTTTAACTGTGATTTTGCTACACTCTTTTGTAATGGGACAGAAAGACTGAAACATTTTAAGAGACTATGTGTAATGAAAATAAATGAGTAAAAAATATTCTTGAGACTTTAAAAGAAAACAAGACAATACTTTACCAGAGGCTGTGATTGGTGGAGTAATGGATTCTATGGGTGGGATTCTCTCTGTTGTTGTAGAAACTAATTGGATGGACTGGCCTGAGGCTTCTGGTATGAAGAACATTTTATATCAGTATCAAACATTTTTAAACATAACATAGAAAAGTAAATTTAATTACATATGAGTAAACTCTCACCTACACAGTAAGCTGCGCAAAACCTAGGTTTGACAAACTCGTAAACATAGTAATTTCCGGGACAGGCTTTGACTCTTATAGGGTGGGATGTGTAAGTACAGCAGTCACCCCATGGGAGACAGACCTGACGGATGACAACTCCATCTTCCAGCTGTGGGTGAGTGCCATTGAGTGATAGTGGGTGATGAGTGCCACACATGCCATCATTAACACATGATTCTGGCATCTGGGCATTTTGACCATTGTAGAACAGCCTGTACCAGCCATTCCACTCCACATTATGTTCACACATGCCAATGTTAGAGTAATTAGTGGCTCTCCAAGGGTCATCCAGACTGGTGTAGTTGTAGCAGGGGTCCACACTTGGAGTGGTTAACAATACTGTTATTAAAATGTAGAAAGAGAGCATTACATACTGCATATTAAATCTATTCAAGATAATAATATGAATACAAACCAATAAAATTTGTGATAAATATGTCAAATAAAAAGATAAATGAACATGCCTGCACAATATACAGGAGCTGGGATTGAAAGAGTTGGTCTGGTAAATTTGTAGACATAATAATTTCCAGGACAAGCTTTGACTTGGATTGGTTCAGATCTGTAGCGACTGCACTGATCATAGCGAGAGCCGTAAATTTCTCGTGTAGCAACTCCATCTTCTACACGAGGATGTGAGCCACCAAGCCACAGACCACTAAAACCTCCACATGACATGTAAAACATACACCACTCAGGCATCTGAGCACTTGATCCATCAATGAAGAGCCGATACCAGCCATCCCATTCTACACGAGTGTCATCAAGGCTATTTGCATAGTCATGCCAATACCAGTAATTGAGTGTGCTTCTCCGGTGGTTGTCTAGTATGTTGTAGTTATTGCAGGGGTCATAATCTGTGTTAGTGAGAGACCAAAACAGACCAGTTATATTTCAATGAGCAAATTCACGAGTGCAAATCTGAACTAATCAAACACATTAACAAACATGACATTTAAATGTCATTGCCAACATACTGTACATACATACATCAGTGGTGGAAAGAGTACTGAAAAACTTTACTTAAGAAAAAGCTACACTGTAAAAAAAGTTTGTTAAATTTATGGTAAAATACCGGCAGCTGTGGTTGCCAGAACTTTACCGTGAAAAATATGGTAGCAACATTTTAGGTTTTATAGAACTGTTTAAATTTACAGTGAAAAACTGTATTTCATTAACTGATACGATGTTAATATGCAAACCTTTGAATTAACTCACTTTATTTGCAGAAACTGACTGCACTTAATGTGGCTAATTGGCATTTGTTTTTAAATTAATATTTATAACGTTTAAGTAATGCGAGCATATTGGTAATGAGAACTGTTTTGCTTAAATCCATGAAGAAAATTCTACCGATTTATGCAAAGTCATTAAAAGCATCAATTCACCTCAAATCTCTGGCAGATAACAACAGCACACATTCATTTGTAATTGAAATTATTGAAGAGAGTCACACTGCATCAGTATCTACACAGTTACTGCCTTTAAATAAAACAACAAGCAGCATAACATCAGTGTTTCTCTGTCCGTCCTTTACTTAAACACAGGCTCTGCTCTCCAGCACAATGGTGACCCACAAAACACAACAGGAAGTTGACTGTTAGGTTTTACAGTATTTTGCTGTTTATTTTCTTGATTTTACGGTGAAATACCGGCAGCTGCGGTTGCCAGTAATCTACAGTTTTTTTTACAGTTTGCATTCGTAAATTAAATTAACAGTATATTTCTGTTAAAAATACATCTCACAGTGTTTTTTTTTATCTCACGCATTTAACCCCTTTAATCCCACAACAAAATCCTCAGTTTTAAAGAGCACTTATATGTGTCCACACTACAGAGTGTTGACGTGACACTGAAGCGGTGATGAAGTTAATGAGATAATTAAATGAGGATTGAGCATTAGTGATGAACACCTGTTAACAAGCAGAATCACTGAAGGAAAGAGAAACAAGAGCAGAGAAACACAATTTACAGCCAAAGCCAAAGATGAAATCAACTGAAAATAAAACACATTAAATTGATCAAGATCTCAGCAGAGGAGGATTAAACAGCTCCACAAACAGCATCACCAGCTTCTTATTACTAACCAGTGTGACTTTATTTCTGTCATATATATGTACAAAAGCTCTTATTGAGATTTTAGATGTTGTACTTTCATTTGAAGTCACCGTAATGTTGATAGGTGTTTGCTTTAGTTGGGCTCTTGAACCTTGACTTTTTAAAAATAGTTTTTCGTTGGTTGCTTAAATTAGCTGTGTTTATTTAACGCAGTTGTTATTGCAAGAAAAGCCAAAGGCATCTATGATCAGATGAAACTGGTGTTTGTGATGTCAAGATCATCCTGAGCTAGTCTGATTCACTGATCTCACCTAATGTTTAATCTCTTATTAAGTGTGTAATATATAACTAATACTCTTGAGTTGCACCACTGATACTACTGCAATCATCGTGATACATTCCTAAGCACAATATGCACAAATAAAAGTTTTAAACTATGGCAGCACTTAAACACACACAGACATCAACATTAAGCCTATGAATCTCAACATTGGTAACAAAAAAAATCATTCTGCAATGCATGCTGGGAGTTTTGTACTGGCACCCAGGATGCATTGCGGCATGATTTAATTTTTTTATTTTTATTAATAGTCACCATTGTTGAGATTCATGTGCTGATTCTTGATGCCTGTGTGTGTCGAAAATTCCTTCACAATAGTTTGTCAACATGTTTCGTAGACTCATATTAGTACCATAAACAAAATATTAATTTACCCATGTAATTAGACAAAAAATTGAGATCAGTGAATCAGGTCATGAAAAATGAAACAATCATTACACCATCATTAAAAGTTATTAAAACTACTTCATTGCACTTTCTCTCAGCTTTTCTTGTCATAACGAATGTGTTTTACAAACACAGTTACAACAGCAAAGAAACACTAATATTAAAGAGTCAAGAGCCCAACTAAAGCAACCACTGATCGCCAAAATGGTGAGGCCAAACAAAACATTTCCAATACAATATACACCAATATTCTTTTGTAGATATATGACCGAAATAAAGTCAAACTGGTTAGAAATGAGTGAAGCTGGTAATGCTGTTTGTGGAGTTGTTTAATCATAATCTGCTGTTTTATTTCGGTTAATTTCATCTAAGGCTGTGGCTGAAGTCAGTTTCATTTCTTGCTCTTTTCTTCAGTGATTCTGCTTGTTAACAGCAGCTGTTCATCATTGGCTGAATTCACCCATTAGTTTTCATTCTCTCTGTCAGGTGGACTATATTAGTAAACTCATGTAGGGAATAGTGAATGAGGGTGTAGGGTGTGATTTCAGACACAGTCTCTGTGTGTCGAATCTGAGGCTACTTTCTTGAAAACAAAGGTTAGATCTATTACAGTTATTCACCGTATATTGTAAGGAAACTTACTGTTAATCATTTAACAGGTTTTTACTGTGGCATTTTTACAGTCTTTTACAGTTAAAATCACGATAATTTTTTACAGTGTACTTAAGGAATAATTTACTTGAGTACAAGTAAAAGTACTGAAAAATAATATAACTCAAGTAAGAGTAAATAAGTATTTTGCTGAAAAATGACTCAAGTTACTGCGTTACAAAGTACTTCAGTTTTATTTTTCTATTTTTACCCAAAATGTGGCTATGTGAGCATTATGGAGCATTAAACACTCTCATGTAATGTCTGTTTCACAAGTGAGACTCATAGAAGTATTAAACTTATGACTTTCCTGGAAATCCCTTATATGGACAAATGCATCAGATATCACTACAGCTGAATAACATGCAGAGGTTTTGACTGATGAAATATTAAGAAACACAATTGCAATGATATATCTGTGTTTATCTTTGTTATTTAAACCATTTCGGGTATTTTAATAAGAATGATGTATATGTATAATGCAGAGGTGTAAAGTATTGGGGTAAATATAATTAGTTACTGTACTTGAGTATCTTTTTGGCTACTTTGTAGTTGTACTGAGTATCAAAGATATTAGCAACTTTTACTCTTTACTTCACTACATTTTTGAACTAGTATCTGTACTCTTTATTCCACTACATTTGAAATGATTGTTGCAGTTACAAATTACATTTTGCATGGACCTAGCTTTTTCTGCGGCAGTTTATTTCTGCTACAAAAGACGTGATACTGCCTATTACAGGTCACTGAAAGTACTTTGCGCTTACTCACCCAAACTTGTCAACAAGGCTACTTTATGTGAATGCGAGTTCCTTAGCAAGTATTTGTGAATCAGCGGTGTTTTATATATGAGATGAGGACATGACTGCAGCTGGCAATGAGGCCCAAACCAACACATCCACTGCAAGAAGGCTTCGGCTTTTTAATTTGACTTAACAATATTTTATTTATACATTATACTGAAGAGACCTTTTTGAAAGATATTGTTTTTTGATCGTTTTGTTTTGTAATTTTGAGGTGTTCAGTTTTATTTTGGTTTTAGAAAATAAACGTGATTGCTCTCCTCACAAATCAACTCTTTCTTGTTTTTGTTTCATGCTCTCTGTGCCTTGCCCTGGACTTTTATGTCACTTCCTGTCTCCCGT